TAGCCCTGCAGACCGCGTCGATGGCACTGGCCTCTGCCTGGGGCACCGCCCCTCCCTGCCTTCTGCCTCAAGGGGGCCAGGCCACGACTGAGCCATAGAGAAAATCCAGATTTTGTATCTCCAGAGCAGGAATGGGAGGGCCCCTCCAGGCCCCGGTTTCCTTCCATCAGGCTGGCAGGGTAGGCAGTGGTGCTTTCCAAATGGTAGCAAGGAGGGCCCGGCAGTGGCACGATGCCCGTCATCCCTGAAAATTGACTCTCCCGCTTGCTCTGCTGTTTGACCCCATGAACTCAGAGGAGCTTTGGGTGATGACCAGCTCGGAGTCCCGGGCAGGATGCAGCGAGACTTCTGGATTACTTATTCACTGAATTCCTACCTTGCGCTATACACTGAGTATACACTGGTGAATAAAACAGATATGGTTCCTGGAGTCTATGAACCTTATTGTCTAGTCACAGATAAATTGAAAATAAGAAGAATAGAGGCGAAAACGGGGATGGAAATCCTGAAGCAGGATGAGGGTGGAAATGAAGTGCCTCAACACACGGTGCTTTTGAAATGTAGCGTTTCACCCAGCAGACAATTGACCACCTTGACTTTATCAGAGGTGCAAGGCCACACACTCAAATTCTCTAATCGAACAATAGGCCAGTGCAAACGGAGCTATTTCTTAAACCCAACTGTTTACACTGAGACTACAAATCTGTTCTGAAAGAACCCCTGCCATTCACAACTGCCTATCGAACAGATGCTCAAGAGCATTTGTCTCTCACCCCCAGGGTTTCAGTCAAGAGGAGGGAGCGGGTTTGAATGTCTGCAGCTTCTAGAACTTCACACGTTCAGCTCAGCCTTCGTCTGTGCCCAGAGGCTGCTGCTCTGCTCCTCAGCTCCCCTCGCAGAACAATAATGATTTTTAGAGGCATAAGAAGGAGGGCTTGCATTGAATTATTAAACAATGGGCACTGAAGACATGTTTGCTTTGACCTCCTTACCTCTGGCTTTCATCAGTCAGCATTTTCTTGTGTGGAGGCAAAGATTTCTAGAACACTGAGACATTATGCTTTCCTTCTTCTCAGACTGTTTTCCAAACTCATTTAAAAGCCCTGTGTTTTAAAACCCCTGTGATAAACTTTAAAACACCGTGTGCTCTCCTTTCATTTTCTGAAGTTAATCGTAAATTTCAGGAGGAACAAATGCCCTAGAACAAAGCACTGCTTTGTTCCCAAACCAGGCCCGTCACCCGGACCCCTTGAGATGCTGGATGCTGGTGGGAGCACACGTGGGAGTCTGAACTCCCTCCCTCCACCTCCAGTTCCTAAGAATCATTGTTCTAAATGGTAATACTAACATTTACCATCTTCATTTGCATGTGACAGCCCTGGCTGGTGTGGCTCAGTGGATTGAGCGCTGGCCCGCAATCCAAAGAGTCGCAGGTTAGTTCCCAGTCAGGGCACATGCCTGGGTTGTGGGCCAGGTCCCCAGTGGGAGACATGTGAGAGGCAACCGCACACTGATGTTTCTCTCCCTCTCTTTCTCCTTCCCTACCCCTCTGTCTAAAAATAAATAAATACAATCTTAAAAAAGAAAGAATATAAGACTTCCAATATAACATTTAAAAAAAACAACTTTTCTCTGTGACATAAAAGATGAGATGTGACCAATAACACAATGTGACAGGTTTTAAACACATAAGCAAGAATATATACAACCAAATGAGCATCGTGCTTTTGAAATGGCTACTTTTTGGGTCAATAGCTGTTTCTAGGGCTAATGTCATCGCTCAAAAAAAAAATTTTTTTTTGTGGCTTTGCCCTGGCTGGGTAGCTCAAGTGGTTGGAATGTCATTCCGTATGTCAGAAGGTTGCAGGTTGGATTCCCAATCAGGGCATTACTTAAATTGTGGGTTCATTCAATCCCCAGTCAGGGCACTTACTGGAGGTAACCATTAGACGTTTCCCTCTGTCTTGCTCTCTCCCCTCCCTCTTCTCTCTCTAAAAAACCAATAAACATATCCTCAGGTGAGGATTTAAAAAAAAGTTGTGGCATGCTTGTTTAGGCATAGCACAGGGCAAAAATATGTGCTTTAGAGGCAGGTGACCTGGCCGCACATCAAGTTCTGCCACTTTTTAACTGTGGTAATTGGTTGTTTAATCTCTAAGCCTCAGTTTGCTGATTGGTAAAATGAGAAAAAGGACAAGAAAAAAATGTATGTAAAGTGTTGGCCTATCCTAGGTAGCCCAATAAGCATTAATATCAAAGTCACCACAAATGACAAAGGCTTTTGAATTCCACTAAAAGAACTTTGAGTGTGATTTTAGAGGAAATTCCAAGACTTTAACGTTAAGTTAGTAGAATAAAAGTGGATAATAAATGGCTGGAAATTCTAGTTTTGTTGGGGGAAAAAGTAGTTGTTACTGTAGCCACTAGCCTAAAATTTTATGTGGCTCATTAAACGACCCTGAAGTTAGCGCCAAAACATGCTTCCAAAATGCTTTGAAAGACCACACGCATCTTGGAGTTGTGCATGGGCTCCCTGGGTGGCCACTTTGAAGATGGATACAGCTCTTTTGAATGTTTCAGTAAAGTCACACCCCATAGCTGGACCCTGTAGAAAAGCAGGACGAATTACTATTGCAAATCTTCCCTGTCATTTCCTCTAGATCCTGAGGTGTGTTCTTCCTTTTTAAAACTGTGGTGTGTAGTAACCAGGGTGCTTCCCCCCACTCTGCTTTTCTAATATATTCCCTTTAAGTTTTGAACCCTTGTAACTGAAAAGAGATCTCAGACTCAGTCCCTGCTATCAAAAGCCTCGGTTATCATGCCACAATTTCAGGAGCTTTCAGGGTTCTATTTTCCTCATCTCACCCCAGATGCCTGGCATACGCGATAGCAGCAAAAACAAAATCTGTTGCATTTTTGGAACATTATTAATGTGTAAGCAGTCCAGGAATTGCGACAGCTAAGATAGTTCCCCCCCTCCCCCACCCACTTTTTCTTTTTCTAATCCAGAGAGCAAAGAGCAAAATTTGGCATGAAGAACTTCGTCTGGAAGAATCACCCAAAGGCGTTCTAATCCACGCACTTCCCTCTGCTGCCACCCCGCCACCACCCAGGCTGTTTCCCGATAGGAAAGCCGTTTCAGGTGTTAGACAATGATAGTACACAATAGAACTATAAATCTCGCGTTTGCCTAGAATTTCAATGGCGCTGTAGCACTCCGCCCTTCCTCCCGTTAACAACATCAGGAGATGAGTTAGTGAGGGCAAATTGGCGAGTAGCGCGTCTCTGAGTGGATTTTAAAATTCTCCCCTTGAGGGACTTGTAGGCTTTTAAAATATAAAGGTGTTCCCCCAATGGGAAAAAAATTCATGTCGATAAACAGTTTAAGATTCAGCATACATTTGAGAAAATGCATCCCTAAATGTGAATGTGGATGCTGTGTAAGGTAACTTCTGAACCCTTCACTGTCATCTTGAAGTCTTCAGGAAGAAAGCTCTTGAGGATGTTGGATTATAAAAATCATTCTCTTGTTTGTGGGACTTGAGGACCTCTCTTTGAGCATAACAAATACAAGATCACAATTGAAGGTGCTTTGAGCTAATGAAAGATTTATCCTTAACACAGACAATTCTACTTCTCCAATGATGCTGTATTGTACCTCTTCATTAGACAATCCTACCCACTGTTCCCTTTCCCTAGACCAATGGAATTCGTCCCCTATAACCAGTGTGGTTGGCAGGGATATATGGATTTAACTGGCATGGTCAGGAGATTGCTTACAAGGTAACTGGGCAAATAAATAGCGTATTGTGAATAACGAGAGCCAGGTCTCTGACTATTCGAGAGATCTATATTTGAGATACAGATACAGAAAGGAAGGAGGCTAGGATAAGGTCTGTGGTGCTGGGTTAGAATTGAAGGTGTCTATGTGATCTCCTGAATTTTATGTAAATAGGTTAATTAGATTTATGTCTATTTATGTGTGTGTATAAATGGATAGATAAATACTTAGATGACATACCTGTATACAGACATACATCATTTATTATCTATCTATCTATCTATCTATCTATCTATCTATCTATCTAACTATTTTTCTGTCTGGCTGTGTAATTTCTTAGCTGTAGGTGCACAGAGTGTCTGGAAACAAAGACACTCAAGTAGCAAAGAGCATACATAGCGTCCACAGCTTGGCGACTAAATATCGTTCATTAAAAGGAACCAGTCCTTCAAGAAAGCACCAAAAAATGGTCCACCGATTGATATGCACATCCTAATCCCTGGAACCTGCAAATCTTACCTTTTTTGGAAAAAGGATCTTTAAAGATGTGACTAAATTTCTCCTCAAGATGAAAAGATTATCCTGGATTATCCGGGCGGGCCCTAAATGCTATCACAAGCATCCTTATAAGAGATTACAGGCAGGAGGGGTAGAGACAGTGTGACCACAGAGGCAGAGGCTGAAGTGATGCGGCCACTGCTCAAGGAATGCTGACAGCCATCAGAACCTAGAGCAGACAACAAATAGACTCTCTCTAGAGCCTCCAGAGGGAGCGTGGTCTTGCTGGCATCTAGATTTTAGTCCAAAGATACTGATTCCAGACCTCTGGCTTCCAAACTTGTCAAAGAATAAATTTCTGTTGTATTAAGCTGCAAAGTCAGTGATAATTTGTTACAGCATCCACAGAAACTAAGATATGAGTCTAGGACAGTGAATGAACCCAGAATATCTTGTTGGGCCAGAGAGTGAGGTAATGCTCAGGAACGATGAGGACATATCAAAAGGACCCAGCTTGAAGGACACCCCATTGGTCAAATTGAGGGCAGTTAAGAACTAAAATAAATCAAAATTAAGAATCAAAATAAATGGCTAGACTAATGATTACAACCCACTATAAATAGGAGTCCATATAAAGTCACAGAAAATGATATCAATAAATAAGGAAAAAAGTCTAGTATAAACTCATAATATAATGCCAACTAGTAAATACAGGAAGAAGATACTCCCCTGGCAGGGAGCTACCATGACCACAAGGCGGTTCTCCCAGGGCGAGGCTCACCCGTTGCGCTCCGGGTGTGCCGACCCCTGCGATTTCCCCGAATGTGGGAGACTCGACTGCATAATCTGTGGTAGTGGGCGACAGCGTTCACGCTCTCCCCTGGGGGGAAAAAAAGAAAAAGAAAAATAAGTAAATATAGGAAAAACAATGGAATTAGAAAATCATTTGGCAACCATCATAATAAAAATTGATTTAGGCAAGAATCGTCAATGGATGCTGAAACTAGTGGATGAAAATTTAATGAGAAGCAGAATATTTACAGCACCTCATAGTGTCTCCCAATAAAATATTGATTCATTCCTTATTAGTAAGTACAAAATGCTTATTAATTAAGTTTACTGTAGAGAAATTGGCAAACGCTAGCTTAACTAAACGCCAAATTTAATGGCACCGGTAATGGGACAAATCGACATCATGTCCCCTGATACAATGCACTGAGAAGAACAAAGCATTACTCTGTCGTAGCGCTGCCAAAAATGCATGATGGCAAAGCTAATCATGAGGAAATATCAGACATGCTCAAATTGAGGAATTTTCTACATAATAACTGGCTGTACTCCCTGCAAACATATTCAGGACAAGGAAAGGCTGAGAAAAATATTCCAAATTAAAGGAGACTAAAGAGACAAGACAATTAAATGCAATGCATAATCCTGGGTGGGCTTCCAGACCCATAAAGGATATTATTGTTGGGACAGATGGCAAAATTTGAATATTGTTTGTGGATTACATGGTAACACTGTATCAATGTTTGTACTGCAGTTATGTCAGAAAAAGTCCTTGTTTTTAGAAAATGCATACTAAAGTATTAAGTTATATTGGAGCATTATATCTTTAACTTCCTTCAAAATTTTCAGGAAAAATAAAAAGTAATAAAGTTTACACCTATACAGAGAGAATGAAAGACAAATGTGGTAAAATGTTAACAACTGGGGAATCTGAGTGAAGGACATATAGGAGTTCCTTATAGTGTTCTTGCAACATTTTTGCAAGTTTGAAATTATTTCTAAAGGAAAAAAAGGTCATTATTCTTTCATGGTATCTTATTACTTCCACTCAAAGAGCCTTTGTGCCCACAGCATTATTAAAAGAAGTGCAGGGGTGTTGGAGGGAAAGGCAGGAGACCTGGTCTGCACGCATGTCACCTGTGAGCCTCAGTGTCCTCAGCTCGTCATCCTCCCTCTCTCTATGCTGAAGGCATTGGTATCACTAGTGGGTTTACTTCCACTTTGAAAGGGACAACCAATGACACGATTAAAATTCATTACCTCAGAATGGGAAGCAACTGCTAAGGGGCACCAAATCCCATTTCTTTTTGCAGGGTAAAAATCTTGTAAAATTAGGTTGTGGCGGTGGTTGACTAACCCTGTGACAAAAATGGAAAACATTGAATCGCGCACTGTGAATGGCTGAATTGTACGATATGTGAATTCTATTTCAATCAGGCTGTTAAAATCACCACTGCTCCTTCCCTCACCCCACCCCCAACTGTGACTCTGGGGTCAGAGCAGCCCATCTGCGACAGTCGACAGGCGCGGCGGCTTAATACCTGGATGAGTAGAGAAGACGGACTCTCGTCCCAGAGGCAGGAAGGAAACGAAGATGCAGCAAATGAACCTTTCAGAAGGGACAGAGTCTGCAGGACCCCTCAAACGCCTGTCCTCCAGGCTCCGTCATCATCCTCTGCTGCTGTCGCCCCATGCATAGCCCCTGGGTGACTGGATCCACGTCTGTGGCTTCAACTCTCTCCTGTAGCCTGCTGAGTCTTGAGTGACTTAGGATTAGATGTTGCAACAACCGAGAGAAAACTCAAATACAGCTAGTTTAAAAGCTTAAACAAAAGAGACGTTTGGATTTGTTTCCTTTCCCGCATCAATGTCTGAGTAAGTAGTCCAGAGCTGTCATGAAGCTCCTGACATCAGAGACCCAGCCTCTGGGCCCAGTTTACGGCCTCATGGGAACCCTTCTGTGCACATCCAGAATGAAGGACCCCTCTGGGGGAGAGCCAAGTGATGGCCCTGCCCAGGGTCTTTCTCGCTTTCTCCTTCAAGGGATCTGAACCTTACTGTCCAAGATTGCAACACTTGTCATCTTCCAGGCAGGAACATGGAGGAAGGGACTGATGGAGAAGGAGGGCACAGGGTATCCGTGGGCTGAATCTAAAGTAAGATCTTTAGAACTTCTTACGTGAGACTTCACTTGCATTTCATTGTCTAGATCTTTGTCATATGACCTCACCCCAGTCGTAAAAGATGCTGGGAAATGTAGTTTTTATTCTAAGTGGCCATGTAATCAGCAAAAACAGCAAGAAGGAAGGAAGGGAGGGAGGGAGGGAAGGAGAAAGAAAGGGGAGAAATTCTAGTACCGAAGAATAAGAAACAATAAATAACCACTGGCACAACTAGCAGTCTTGGTTGTTCTTTCCAATTTACAGTTTTAATTCAGATCCATATAACCGATTGTCTCTTGGATATTTGTACCCAAAGACTAATAGACAATAAAATTGAACAAATGGAAAACACAGTGTTCATCCGATCCACTCCCATCTCAGACCTGCTCCTTCTCCTGCGATCTCCCTCTCAGTGAATGGCAATATCATCCACCTCGTTGGATGTGAACCATCTTAGACACTTACACTTCCTTCATTGCCTGCCCTGCATTCCTATCCCTCCTAAATAGCTCTTATATGCATCTCCTCCTCCCCATTCTCACTACTCTAACTCAGGCTCTCATTTTTTCCCCATCTAGACTATTACGGGGACCTCACACTGAACCCCATGCCTTTAAGCTGCACCCCTACAATCCTTTCCCCACATTGCACCCAGAGTACTCTTTTTCAGACTAAACCTGGTTGGCCTTGCCCTTCCACTGCCCATACCTTTGGAGGTAAAGTTCACTTGCTTTGAGCAGGTTGCCCAAGGCTGGTCCCGATCTGGCCTCTCCCTGCCTCACCCTGTCAGCTGCCTTCCCCACATATGTACCTTTGCTCCAGTCTAACTGAACCATCTGTTGTTCCCTAAACAGTCAGCTGTTTCACGCCGCCCTGCCTTTGCATGTACAGTCCACTCCGTCAGGAATGACCTTCCCGTTTTGGTCTATGAAGCTCCTACTTCTTCAAAACTCAGCTGAGCATTGCCTCCTCGGGAAGTTCCTAGGTTCCCCAATCTGATTTAGGCATTCTTCCGCATGCTCCCATAATGCGCCATCCTTATGATCTTCACATGCATTTATTTGCACGTCTTTCCCACTAGACTATAAACTCTTCAAAGGATGAAGTCTTATTTCTTTTGCCTTTATATCCCTAGTGCCTGGCACTATAAATATGTGTTGAGTGAACAAGTATGCCAGGCTCAATCTTACACACATGTTTATTTATAGGATTTAATTCTCATAAAGCCCCTATGAGATATATTCATTTTACAAATGGGAAACTGAAGCTCAGGAGAATTGCATAAATGGCAAAGGCCACAGAACTAGTTAGAAGTACAAATGGGGATTAAATCTGATGTCTTGCCCCGCTGTGTTCTTATTTAGAGAAATCACCTTTGTGGCTATTCTGAACTGAAATACGGAAGCACCCACTTTGAAGTGAGTTAACCTCCATCTTGAATCCACTGTCAGAAATGTGTATTTCTTCTCTTTTCCCAAATTCCTGAGTCCCTGAACACAATTCTAGGGTACTTACAAAACCTGGAGTCTAGGGAGTCAGTTTCTTTGCCTCCTCCTAGGAAAATTCCTTTAGTAAGCTTGGATCTCTAGCAGGGGAATCTGTTTCTTTATCTGCTCTTCCAGTGACTACTTATTAAACACCCACTATGTGTTAATGTTAGCCTTGTTCACACACGAACACTCAGAAACAGAGACGTTTCAACCATTACCAGAACCTTTTAATCTTTTTGCTGGAGTCACAGAGAATCAGCTATGTCTAAGGATACAGTTACAAATGAAGAACAAGCAATAGAAAGCTGTATTGTATGTTCAAGGTTACATGTTATTGTTCTTCCAAAAGAAAGGCGTGGACTGTTCTTGCATAGGAAACAGGTTTCAGGCACAATAAAGAATGCGCTCCCTTATCGCAAATGTACTCAGGCAGTTCAGTGAGTTGTTTACCACTTAGGTATTCCTTATTCAGCAGTTTTCTTACAATAATGATACCTTTAAATTCCTTAATGCTCTACCCTCCCAAAAGGTAATAAGAAATCGAAACTGTGCACTGCTTAAATGAATTCATTCGTGTGGAGAACAAAGCCATTTTTATATACTCCTGCAATGTCCATTTGACTAGAAGCCAGAACATTTTACACAGGCAGCAAAATCCATCTCCTGGAATTGATTCAGGTTTTGTGTGACGGGGTGGTGGGTAAAGGAAAAGAAAAACGCGTGCTTATAATTGCAGTTGGAAGCAGGCCCAATTACAGGAGCAGTTCTTTCAAGTTTCACCTTCAATTGTGTTAATGGAGCAGTAAGGTTGAGTAGGAACAAAGAGAAGCAGAGAAAGGCAAGCTGGCTTTTATTTATTCACTTAACAAATGTTCAGCCCCCACTGCATATTAGGGCCCGTGGAAACATGAAAATTAGTTACACAAGGGTTTCGCCTTCCAGAAAGTACAATACAGCCGGCAAGTTAACAGGTGCGTGCACACACACTCGTGCATGCGCTCACGTTTGCACACAACTGTATTATCCTCGTTATTCAAACACTTCATCAGAACTTTTGCTAACCAGACTCAGGAAATGAATAGATTCAGATACATTTTAAAATAAGTTCACCTCTTTTCAAACTTTTACTACCCACTTTCCCAAACTAAAGAACCTCAGGTAACCGGTATTTAAACTCGCCACCTAAACTGTGCGGCTCCAAACTCAGGAAACCGATCGGTGGGGCCGGGGCTGGCTGCTGCGGGGGCATGGAGAGGGCTGTGGGGGGCCCACGTGGCAGGAAGCCGGGAGGGTGCGAGCGGTCTTCCAGTCGGGGTACAAGTCCATCGAGAACATTTTTAACTGAGCCCTGAGGGATGGGGAGAGCCTCAGTGCCATTCGGCAACCCTTTTCTTTGTCCCTGTATGCTCCCTACCAGCTCTTCTAAACCTTCCATCACCCTT